TTGCTTGGGGTTGAACACCTGAGTTTGTCAATTCCAAACTATACGTCCTTGTGCAGGTTGTTGAACTTCTTTTAACCTATAGTGCCTGCCACTGTAAAAGAAGGATAATAATAGTGACAAGTTTGGGTAGGGTCATTGTGAGAATTAAACGTGATATTGCAGCTAAAGCACTTAATACGGGATTTAGCACATGGGAATCAGTATTTTTTAGCTATTATTAAAAGTCCTTGATTTATATTTTTAGCTCCTAAACCAGACTAATTCTATACATACATATGTACAAGCACACATATACACATAAACATAACCCAGACTAAAAATATTTAAATGATTCTCTTGGCTACGGTTAGTGCTAGGACAAAAACTTTGTGTGTCCAGCCATATCCACTTCAGCCAAGATACAATCTGAATAGCATGCGTCTGATTTCTCTAGTGCTTTCTCATTCAAAAACAGAAAACATGATAGAGGAGCATGTGTTGTTATCGATATTAAGTAACATTTCATCTGCAAATTCCAAATCTTGTGGCATAGGGAAAAAAAAAAACCACACAAGAAATGCATAACATATTTTCTTCATTCTCAAAACTGATTTATTCAACAAAGAAATAATCATGGAGAGCATACCGTGCTCTAGGTTGTGTGTGTGTGTGTGTGTGTGTGTATAAAATGATAGATTAACAGAGTTAAAATAGTTGGCAATTCTGAGAATAATTTAAATGTGCTAAATTGGAAGTCTCAATGTAGATGGAAAAACAATTTTAAGAGTTAATCACCCTCTAAACACACACACACTCACACACATACAGACACACAATTTGTCATGTGCAAAGACAGCTAATCCTAGTAAGAATAATAGCACAATTCATAAAGATGGCAGGCCAAGCCCCAACTTGAAACCTCATATGCTGAAGAGAAGCTCAGTATGCATAGCAAGACTCAAAAACAAAAACAAATCAGTGGATCTTAAATTACATCCAAGTGAGGAAGCCAAGTAGAGAGTAAGTGTGGTCACTTATTCAGTACTGAGGCAATGGCAGATAGGTTAAGTAAGTTCATTGTCTGAGTCTTTACAGAAGACAGCAGGGAGATTCCTGACAGGTTAGGAGTAAGAGATCAAACAGTGGCAAATGAACAGGATGTTCCAGGGCTGGCTGATAATGTCAATGCAGATAATTCACAGGCATCAGGACGTTCGTGTGAACTCCTTAAAGGAACTCAGGGGTTCAAACAAGATCCTACTGCACAAAATGCTTAACCTGTCCTTAACAGCAGTTGCTGAGCTGGAGGACCCCTGGATTGTCAGCTTGAATCTCTTTCCTAAATGTATTAGATATAAAATCGGTAGAGATTTGTTAAATCCTAGCACACCAGAAGCTGTAGAGGGCGTGCCTTGAAGTTTAAGTGGAGTAAATTAAGGACAAAGAGCCAGAAAAAAATTTTTTAACACTAGTTAGCAAACTTAAGAAATTCATTACTCCCAAAGATATAGGGTAAAAATATAAAAAGATTCCTAAAAACTTTAGATCAATTCAGAGATATATCAGCACAGGAGTGAGGTTTTCAGGGACAATGACTTGGGGTGCTAGGGTAGGTATCTTTGAGTGTGACATTGATGGGGAGATAAAGAAGCATTGCCCCATATTTCTTGGTACCTCCAGGCTGGGCCTCTTTTGTAATTCCTGTATACCGGTAGTCCCTCTTTCTTTTTCTTTTTTTCTTTTTTGTTTTTTTGTTTGTTTGTTTGTTTTGAGATGGAGTCTTCTTGCTCTGTCGCCCAGGCTGGAGTGCAGTGGCACAATCTCAGTTCACTGCAACCTCCACCTTTTCGGTTCAAGTGATTTCCCTGCTTCAGCCTCCTGAGTAGCTGGGACTACAGGCATGCACCACCATGCCCAGCTAATTTTTGTATTTTTAGCAAAGAAGGGGTTTCACCATGTTGGCCAGGCTGGTCTTGAACTCCTGACCTCAGGTGATCCACCTGCCTCAGCCTCCCAAAGTGCTGAGATTACAGGCGTGAGCCAACACGCCTGGCCAGTAGTCCCTCTTCCTTTTATTAAACGTATCACCCCCACTTTCAGTCTTGGCATTTTGGTCTCATGCATGATAAAAAACCCAGTGGAAGTGGCTCATGCCTATATAATCCCAGCACTTTGGGAGGCTGAGGCAGGGGATTGCTTGAACCCAGGAGTCTGAGACCAACCTGGACAACATAGGGAGACTTCTCTCTACAAAAGAAAATATTAAATTAAAAAGCCCAGTGGATAGTCATTGTGCTTCTGCCTGTGCTGCATCTTTGCTGCTATAGCCTTGTTTCTCTTATTTTAGGAGGGGTTCTGCAGCACCAAAAAACAGACACAACTGGCCTAGGGCAAGGGAGAGGGTGAGCTAACACTTTACCTTTGGCTTCCAGAAATGCTAAGTGTTCCCAAAGGATCAAGTGCTGCCAAAGCCTCATCCCTTCCCTGGCCATCCTAATAGGCCTGCTTGTCCCCATGGAAATATTGACAAATTCTCCATCATAGGATACGGAGGTCATTGGAGAAGGAAGCAATTTCTGTAAACAATAATCCATTTGTAGGTTTACTTTTCCATCCCAACAAAAATAAGTGAGGGCTTTGTGATCCCTGGAATGGGAGACAATACATAAAACATGCTAAGGAGCGTACCATTATGGTGTTCACCATGACCTAAAGGAGACAAAGATCTGGGATTTGGAGGTAAGTACACAAGATAGCAATGTAGAATGGGGAGCACGTGAATAAGGCGTTTCTATTTTAAGTGAGAAAAATATATGAAGGGAAGTCTTGTGATTTCCAGGTCATGTACCTTAGCAAATTCCAACACAAAGACCATCTCACTGTCAAAAGGCCATATTCAGAGAGCTACTTCCAAACAGGCAGGAGTTGGTCCTACAGAGAAATAATGTGGTAACATAACCCCTGGAAGAAAATGTGTTTTCAGTTACACCAGGGCCAGGCCCAACCTTTCCCACAAGCTCTTCCTAAATAGGAACTTGGCAATGGGATTAGCTGAGCTGGAGGGGACGTCCTTGGCTTTAGAGGTGAAGCCCATCAGGGTCCAGAGGAAAGTTGGGCAGAGGTTTTCCCTGCTGCTAATAGCACTGAAGAATCAGTATCACATCCATTTTATTAATTTCCTTGACAGACAGCTCTAGTTACCATGCAGGCACCACAAAATCAAAACATACGCATGTCAAGGGGCCCCATCTGTGGTGGGGCCTTGCCAAGGCCCATGTTACATCAACACGAGGAAGCAGAGCACAGCTCCACACACCACGTGCTTGGTCCCATGGACCATGCCCTGGAAGAAAACCACCAGAGTTTGATTGAAAGAGCCAGAGAAGTTCTCTTGGTGACAGTCCTCTATCCCGAGTCTGGGCTTCTCACGTTGAACATAAGATCCCTGGGAGACACATGGCTACATCTGGCTTCAGGGTCTTGTCTCTAAACACAGCTATACAGACCTCCCTGCCACCTCCATTCAGTTCCACCCATGCAGGACAAGAGCAGCCTGGATTAAATAAGACACTTAAAGGAATGCAATGTCTTTATTTGTAAGCCGGATCTGAGCTCGGAGTTCTGTTGAGCTGAGACCTTTGGCTGCATAATGAGCATAGAAAAATTTTTTAAATCAAGGTATCCCTTGCTATTAGTGTTGCTAAAGTGATTGAAAGAGCTCCAAAGCAATTTGTTCTTTTATGTAGAGCAATGCTAACTATCAGTTGGCTACATAATGCCGATTTGGCAGGTAAGGACCTAGAAAAACTCCTGCTCTAAATACTATCACTCACAGGTGCCCGTGGTGAGCACTAACACATCTGTGTCCTCATGCTTCCCACCCATCCCTCTTATTGCAACCTAGGCCATTTCCTCAACACCATCAAGGAACGTGGCAGTGGATTAGGCATCCACATGACAGCAAAAGGCAGGAGGTCTCACACCTTTGATTGCAGAGCTTCTGGCCTCCTTTATGGACCTCGTGCTGACTCATGGACTTCCTAAGGATGTAATTTTCCACCTTGCCAGCTATTAATTCTGCTCCTTACATGATAAGAGGAAGGATATTAGCCCAGATCCATAGCTAACTGCCTCCCATGCCATATCAGAAAGGCCCGAGCTAGACCTGTCTTACACCCTGGTTTGTCACCTTGACTGCCTAATCTAAGAACAGTCTAAGGATGAGGACTGCAGAGGATAACAGTGACTGTTATCCCAGGCTCCAGAAGCCTCTTTCATAGGGGCTGGATGCTCAGTGCAAGGCCCTGGAATCACAATCCTAACCTGGCCCACCCTGGGAGGACAGAGTTGGTTTTTTTTCTCTTTGCCTGCACTGGTGCAGCAGGTATGGCCACCTTGGGGACTTTGGAGTAGCTGCCCAGCCAGCTCTGACAAGGACATGAACACATCCACACTGCCTCTCTCTCCATGAAAAGGGCACTGCTGCCGAGGACTCAGTACATTGTTTCGCTCTCCATTCAAACAACCGCGGCATGTCAGTCCTGCTGGCCTCCTTGATTGTGCAGAAATAAATAAATGAATTATGTTGTTGGGGTTTGGGCTTCAGCACAAACACATGGTCTGCATTTATCCACACAGTGAGAGGTCCACCAGCCACTTGATATAAAAGAGCAAAATGATAATGCTTTTCTTTAGGCGCTCTTTTGCCATATGGAATGTATATAAATCATATTTTTGTTTTAACAGCGGAGGCTTTGTTGATAGATAAACATGTGGTTTATCTAAAAAAAGAGGGGATTGTGCTTTGAACAATCATTTAATGGCCGTGGATGTGCCAAATAAAAATAAAAACATAATTTTGAAAGAAGTTGGCTTCATGCCCAAATCCATAACAAGGAATTTCTCCTTAACCCAAGTGGTTAGAGCCCGTCGATCTGTTTTGAGTTTAAGCTGTGCTCTCTACTCAACCCCACGACAAATGGAATCCTGAGCTAATGTGCTCTAATAAGACGAGACGTTACCTTTATGAATGACCTCATGGAGAAGAGGTTGGCAAGCATGGTGGAGAGGCCTTGAGCCAGGCAGCTCTGGGCTATGAAGCCCAACTTCAGCTCTGCGAGGCAGATTGCGTCATCACCTTCTTTCCAATTCCAGCTCGGGATGTTTAGCAGATGGGCCTGGGGAAAGAAAAGCAGATATGAGACCTCGCTCTGTTAAATGTTCGATTGTTCAACATTTCTTCTGGGAAATGCAGCATTGCCCGACCACTCAGGGCCATTCAGTCTTGCCCTTCTTTTCACTTGCTGGGGTCTGATGTTTGCTGTTTTATGCAACTCTTCTGCTCATCACATTTCAGTCTCTCTGGACCATTGCTTCTGCACCTACCAAGCCCAAGTCCTCCCCTGGGTTGGCCATTTAGCCAAATAGAGCCCAGAGGGAATTTCCTCTTGTGACAGACACATCAGCCGGGGTTACTAAGATGTCTAGCTAAATGGTTAGGTTGAGTCCTCAAATAGACTGTAAGAGTGCCAAATGCCTGTATATTTTCAGTTTCTTTTTTACCTGCCTTTCCAATACTCCAGATCAGTGACTCCCAGGCATCAGGAGCAGGCATCAGAATCACCTGCACAGTTTGTGAAAACACAGATTGTTGATGCCCCGCTCCCACCGCCGGCATTTCTGATTCAGTAGATCTAGGGTAAGGCTGGAGAATTTAGCATTTCTCACAAGTTGGAGGTGGCGCTGATGCTGTTGATCTAGGGGCCACACTTTGAGAACCACTGGCCTAAAACATCAGGTGAATCACAATGTTGATGTTTCCAATCTTTTGCAAATGAACTGGTCCTATTCAACCCTTATGTCAGGCCCTGAGACAAGGACCCAGCGGCATGCTCATCCAATTATTTTTAAGTGGCATGAAGCAGAGAGTCATAGACATTGGATGAAAGAATCAAAGTAAGGTTCTCCAGAGTCGGAAAAATCAGCAAAAGACCAAACTAAAAAGATTTACAAGGCTTTCATGTCCAGTACAGCATTTAGGTTAAAAACAATCAACTATATAAAATGAGAAGACCTAGCTTGGCAGCAGGCAGGAGAGAAATAAAAGAAAACAAAACACACAAAGCTAAATGTAAGTGTGTGGGTAACTAAAACCTCAAATTTTAGGCCAGCCATGTGACATTACAGAGAAAACCAGCGTCTACTTGTCAGAAATGTTCTCCAGATCAAGGGAAATGAACATTTCATTGTGCTGCGAACTGGTCAGACTAGTTCCAGAGTACTTGATCCAGTTTTCAGTCAGATTTAAAGAGGGGAAACGATCAACTGAATAACTTCCAGAGAAAAGTGACAAAGACAAGAGGAGGTAGCGTCTGGAAAAGATCTTTTGAGGAACAGTTAAGAGAGCCAGTAACATTTGGCCTGAAGAAGGCTCTCATCCTCACAGAGACAGGATAATTATATCTGAATACTTCAGGTGCTGCTGTGTCCAAGATTAGGTTTGTACTGCTTTGTTCTAGAAGCCAGAATTAAGACTGACTGGTATACATTCCAAGAAAGCAGATTTTTGTCTTGTTTTATAAATGAACTTCCTAACAATGTAATTTGTCTACCAAACGAAGAAGGTTACCTTAAAAAATGAAAAGTCTTTGTCCCTAAGACTCAGTAAGTATTTCTCCAAGTTACTATGGAAAGAACGTTTGCTCTGCACTAGGAGGTTGAATCAGACAGCCCTTCTAAGTCTCTGCTAATGCCAAGATTCTATGGCTTTGGAGTTGTTATTTCTCTGCACATCTCAGCAAACACAAGGAGCACCAAGGGAGTCTTCCCTTCACTTTCAGAACAATATACAATAGTTGAACTAGAAAGATGGAAGATTTCATTGTGAAAACAAAGAGTAAGTCCAAGGGTTCCACACTCTGCTTTCAAAAATACCACTCTTGTGAAATTCCTTCTTGCAAAATCCACTTCTGTGACAATCTTGTGCATCCTAAGCCAAAAGTGGTTATTCTAGGGAGAGATGACTGTGCCCTCCCTGATGAGAGCATGGTTAAAATAGTCTCATAGAGGGGACACAGCAAATGGTAATTGCTGTGAAGCTATCAAAGGACCTTCCCCACACTGCAGACTCAATTCCAACAACTAGCCCTATCCTTTATCCCTTCGTTTCTCTACTCTCCACTGGCTTCAGATGACCACTTTCCCTTTTACTTCCTGGGTATTGTAGAGAACACATTGGTATAACTTGAGAAATACTGATTTGCAGTAACATCATCTGAGAACCTGAGAAGAATGAGGAGAAATTAAGTTTAAGTAATGAACAAGTCAAGCATTGTGTGTGAAAGGAGATTTTTTTGGTCGAAGCCCTAAAGAGACACCTCCCAACCTTCAGGGCAACTTCAAACAAACAAGCCAAACCTTTCAAAGAAAGTCTCTCCTATTCACATGTGCTACCTAGGGTATGAGGCTCAGGCATTTCATACTTGGGTCCCCCATGGCCCTGTCTGGTTTGAACTCTGTAGGCATATTTTGAGCTTTCTTTCTCACTGTCCACCTTGACACTTGGCCATGTGATTACATAGAAAAGTTGAGTTTGTTCCTTATATCAGGGTTCTTTGCCCTCTTTTTTTGCATTTTCTCCAATGCAGGGAAGGAGTGAGGGTGACTTGCTAAACGCTTGGAGGGAAATCTCTGTGCATGAAACAAAGAGAGGAGATTGACCCAGGAACGTAAATCCTTTGTTTCTGGAAACTTCGTCCTTTTCTATTTAAAGTAATTTGAGTCTGATGAAAAATGCCAGTGTTAGTGCCCAGAAGTCTGGAGGCAAATCCTCTCTCCCTAACTTGGAGAATATAAAGAGCAGATCTGGCAGATCTGGCTGCTCTTCATTTCTGCTACTTCACCACCCCTCCTTCATTCCATGGAGAAGGAACTGGAAATAGGCTGTCCTAGACAACCAGGAGAGATTAATTTCAGTCCCAGTTCCATCTCTCACTACATACAATTTGGGGAAGCCACCATGAGGAACAAAGAAGTCCATGAAAGAGGAAACAATTTAATATGATTGCCCAAGTGTCAGGTGGACAGTGAGAAAGAAAGCTCAAAAGAACTTGCCTCTATCTGCACTGGGCTCATGGGACTTGGTTTCCAGAAATAAAGGCCTCTTTCACTAGAGTCTTTGGGAAAAATAAAAAATCCAGTGGCAGGTAAATCATCAGGAGTGACACTTTTCCAAGAAGTTATAAACCAATCTTTCCTTGAAGAGCTTTGAGCCATTTACACTCAAATCAGAAGATGCAGGGCCAGCATGAAAATGATGGCCAGCATGAAAGCATTTCTCTCCAAGAATTCTAGTGATATTAAAAGATACAGTTTGGAGAGCATCAGCCCTTCTATAATGCCTACTCTCAGGAACCACAGTTTGGCTCAATGGGCTATGGCTCCATTTAAAGAGTCGGTGGCAGTAAGCTATTCTGTCTCTCCGCTCACTGGCTGCAGAGTGGTGGCCATGATTTGTGCCCAGGAGAGTTACGCTGTCTGCACAGAGCTTAGATGCCCTGCTCTGAAGTTACCCTGGGATGCTAAAATGCACAGATGGTCCAATGAGTACTAAAGAAGATAATGGATGTCAAAGCTCTTTTAAAACCATAAAATATGACCCAAATGTCTACAATTATGATGATGACAAACTCAGGGCCAGTTTTACATGAAGAGAAAGTAGGCAGCTTCCCTACATCCCTCTAGGCCCTAGAACATTACTATTACTAGATCATAGGGGATTGAAATGCTTCATATATCAAGACTTTGTCCAATTCCAAAATCAGCTATCTCTTGGAATATGTTCATAGTGACATAACTTTACAAGCACATACCAGGTCCTTTCCTGAAAGCAAGTTGTAATGCATGGAGATCTCTAAGAATCTAGGATGAGTGCAGCAAAAAGTGCAAAGAAAGGCAGAAAAAAAATGCTGAAAGGAAAGAGGAAGAAAATGTATTGAAAGAGTAGGAAGCATCTCAGGAAACAGAGCAAAACTGAGGCAGGGTGAAGAATGTCCATGTGCAATTCTACAAGGAATGAAAGACAAACAATGATGAGTAGACGTTTTGTTCTTTCTCTAGAAGAGAGATATGAAAGAAAAACAACAACAAAATGTCCTGTGTCAAAGTCACTCTATTCCTTGTGTCCTTATTAATCATCCAAGGATCTGTAAGTGATTCTGCCCAACCCCAAAACTCAAATAGTTTGGGATGGTTCTAAACAAAATGTGTTTTAAGCAAATAATCATGAATTGGTTGATATCTTCCTCATTGTTTCTGAATAATCACAACACAGAGGTTTGCCAAAGACATTCAGGTTGCTATGATCATGTGATTACTGACCAGGGACTGTCTGGATCCTAGGCCAGTTGAGCTACTTTGAGTTGGACAAGAACCACAGAGCTAAAATCCTCCTTAATTTCTGGAAGATGCTGCATCAGCACTCATTGGAAAGAGAAAAAAAGGAACTGACAACCCCTTCTAAACATACAACATTAATTTTCCTATTCAATCTAAATTCAGTCAAAAATCTAAACAACAGCTTAAAGCACTCCCACACTAAATGAAATTTCAGATCACAAATGAAAGAAGGAGAGCTCGTTGCTGCAGGAGCTGTCACCAGTCGTCACAGCCTTGCTAATAAAATTCACCTCCACCTACAGGGGCTGCCATCAAAAACTTTTCCAGCTTGATGCCCGTGCGTTACCAATATCCTCACTTTATCTCTTCAGTGTCCTTGGGACACTGTTTTGCAGAGACAAACAGGCAAATGTGACCTTGGGTGCCCACCACCAAATCTGCTGGCTGGAGAACAACACCTTCTGCAAGGCAGCCACCTGCCGAGGGCTGGGCAGTGGCTGGCAGCAGTCAGCCGTTCTGGGTGGTGGGCCAGTCACCGACAGCAGGCTCCACTCAGTGACAGCCTCTGATGGGCCTCCACACAGCAAAATGGGCCAGCATTTGCCAGCAATTAAGAAATAACAGCATGGCGCTGGTGCATTTGGCAGAATGGGGTTTTCTCTGCATCACCTGACTGCCTATTTTGTAGGGAATATGGCCCATAAGAGGGGGTACGCTGTCATTCATAACCCAGCAGGGAGTTATTCTGTGCAGACAGGACACCTGGCTCCAGGTACCGTGCAGCCTCTGGTTTCTAGGCTTCATTAAGGACATAACTGGTACCGCATCAAATGGAGAAAGGTGCCACCTTCCCTCCCCTAAAGCTGTTTTTTTGGAAGTTTACTGACTGGACGAGAGAAGGAGCACTGCCTTTGAATGAGACACTGGACTCTTGTTTACTGAGAAGTGATCACAGGGAAACGGCAGACTCTGACATTTGTCTTCTTTCTAATCAATCCCCCATTGTAAGCTATAACACAAGGAAAATTCCTTTCTGTTTAATCTCTGGATAGCTTCCTATTTTTCTGATTCAACTCTGCAAATTCTCATCTTGACTCTGGAAATGTGTTCCACATTACACTCTTAGAGAGCACATTACGCACTCACTAGTTCACCTGGTCTCAGATAGAGAAATCCTATCGCTCACTTGCCTGGAGCATTCTACACCTTAACTGCTAAATCCCCAAGGACACAAAATAGGGCTTTTCCTTCACTGATATTCCTGCTGGTGTCAGGGAGAGTGCTAATCACACAGTAGGTGTTCAGTAAATATTTACTGAATAAATAAATGACTGCATCACATACAAATGAAAGTTGTTGTAACTTAAGTATGGATGGGATCTAAGAGTACATCAATAGTTCTGAAACTCGGGTTGCAATAGACACTTCTCGCATGAATGAATCAGTACGTGAAGGAGCATCCTTCCAGTGACCAAATGCAAACACGTTGTTTGGACTAAAGAAATGGGCCGGGCACGGTGGCTCATGCCTGTAATCCCAGCACTTTGGGAGACCGAGGCGGGCGGATCACCTGAGGTCGGGAGTTCGAGACCATCCTGACCAACATGGAGACACTCCATCTCTACTAAAAGTACAAAATTAGCCGGGCATGGCAGTGCATGCCTGTAATCCCAGCTACTAGGGAGGCAGAGGCAGGAGAATCACTTGAACCCGGGAGGTGAAGGTTGTGGTGAGCCGAGATCATGCCATTGCACTCCAGCCTGGGAAACAAGAGTGAGACTCCATTGAAAGGAAGGAAGGAAGGAAGGAAGGAAGGAAGGAAGGAAGGAAGGAAGGAAGGAAGGAAGGGAGGGAGGGAGGGAGGGAGGGAGGGAGGGAAACGAAATGTCCCAGGAAGATTCTTAACAATCACACCTGTTTACCCAGGTCTTTGAGTTGCGCACATGTGAGCATGTGAGTGTGTGTGTGTGTGTGTGTGTGTGTGAGGCTGTATAACAAGGAATAAGAGGCTGGACCTGTGGATGTGTCTTCAGGCCTGGAGCGGGCTCTTGTACTCCTACCTTGTTGTGATACTGCAGCATTTGAGTGATGATTCTTATCTTCGGATGGTAGTTCTTTATGGAGATTACTCTGAAAAAGAAAGAACCAACGCTGAGACAGGTCTGCCTTATGCATGGTGTCTGACCAAAACATCAATTTTATTATCTCCAAATGGGGTACCCATGGGACTGAGGTAGGAGGCAGGACTTGATTCCAGAGGCAGGGCTCAGATACCAGACAAAATTGAGGACTAGCTGAAACAGGGATGGGGCAGAAGCAACTTTCCACTGGACATGCCCAGCAGTGTGCCCTGTCAGTTTACCATTGCCATGGCAACACCCAGGAGCTTCCCTATATCCTCTAGGCCTTAGAACACTACTATTACTAGATCATAGGGGATTGAAATACTTCATATTTCAAGCCTGTTGTCCAATTATGAAATCAACTATCTCTTGGAATATGTTCATAGTGATATAACTTTACAGGCACATACCAGGTCCTTTCCTGAAAACAAGTTGCAATGCATAGATGAATTCCAGTCCCAGTTCCATCTCTCACTACATACAATTTTGGGAAGCCACCATGAGGAACAAAGAAGGCCGTGAAAGAGGAAACTCTTTAATACGATTGCCTAAGTGTCAGGGTAGACAGAGAGAAAGAAAGCTCAAAGAACTTGCTTCTATCTGCACTGGGCTCATAGGACTTGCCTTTCATGGCAATGACCGAATGACCCAGAAGTTACTACCCCTTCCCTAGAAATTTTTGCATAAGCTGCCCCTTAATCTGCATGCAATTAAAAGTAGGTATATATATATGACAGCAGAACTGCCCAGAGCTGCTACTCTATCGTGCAGCCCCCTCTGCAGGAGCAGTCATGGAGCTGTAATACTGCTGCTTTAATAAAGCTGTTTCCTTCTGCCCTACCACCAGCTTGCCTTTGAATTCTTTCGTGGGGGAAGCTAAAAACCTTCATGGGCTAAGCCCCAATTTGGGGCTCAACTATCCTGCATCAGGACCAGCAGCCAGGGCTATCCTGAGGGGTTGCAGACACTGAGCCAGGTGAAACAGTGTTCCCACCACCCTACCTCTTGCTAGCGTGAAAACAAAATCACAAAACAGCCGCAGTCTGTGTCCTGGGCATGAAAAATTTGACGGCCCCCTGGAATACATTGGGGATGGGATGTATGCACGTGTGTGCTGGGGACTGGGGGGCCTGGAGCAGGGGATGCCAGCTTATTGCCTATGCAGACATCGAAAGCAAGTCCAAATCATGGGGCCTCAGAGGTTTGCAATCTCCCACACCCTAGGGACTAGCCCAGAATAATCTGCTGAGTCCAATTCTCCAAGTTAACAACTTGAGACAACAATGACAAATCAAACAAGCAGGATGACAAATGGTTCTAATTGTGACACACACTTGGCCACTATCACAAAAAATGATTTCTAAGCAGGGCTCTTAGGATGAGATCAAGGACTCAGCCTTCCATAGCTAATAGAGAAAATGATGACTTAAACGCTGGTTAAAAATAAGTGCCAAGGCGTTGTGGGGGTCACGAGCCGGTGGAAAATTGTCTTCTACCTGCCCGCAGTCCAAACTCAATGTTAAGCATGGCCTGCAGCCACCCCAGCCCTCACATGTCCTCCCCACATCAATCATGGTGCTAAAGGGAGTGGCAGAGGGCAGATGAATGGAAACACCTGGGTTCCAGTCACAGCTATTGTACTAATGAACTGCGCGACCTTTAGGAAAACCCTGGGCTCTCTGTTCCTGTTTCCTCATCTGGACACTGGGAGCAACAGTACCTGCTTTATTTACTTCACAGGCTTGGTATGAGCAGCAAACAGGAGACCAGATGTGAAAATGCTTTGAAATCATTAAAAGTTCTCTCCACGTGTAAGTTATGGTTTTTGTCATTACCGAGTCTGTCAGAAGTGACATTGTACATTTCCTTCTGTGACAAGGAAGGCTAAAGAATGGAATTCCACAGAAAGGCCCACCTCCTAAGCCTAATCAGAAATGCAAGTGCATTTATTATGACGCCCCCACAAAATTCCCACCCAGCAGTGCTCCCCCACTTCACCCCCTTTAGTGCAGAAATGGAGAGAAGGCAGCCAGGGAGCAGCTTTATCTGAAAAGCTGCAACTTATGAATTTAGGAAATGGATCACGCTAAAGCCTCTCCCAGCACAAATTCACCCTGGGTTTTTGCACTTGAAGGATTTCATTTTATTTTTGAAAAAGTGTTGTGTTGGCCCATGCTTATAACTCAAGGACTCTGAGCCTCTGTCAGCCCTGCCTTGCAGTTCACAGCTTCAGCCAGTTTTCTGCATTAGCTCATTTCAAATGGATCTTTGACATTTTAATTTCAAAGGAGGCAGATTGGTCTCATTAAACTGAGGAGGAAGGAGGATTATACAAATAAGAGAAAGACAAAGACCATTTTTAACCCTGAACTTCCCACTTCTTTTTGTTGCCAGGGCCTCAGTTCTGGCTCTACTTAATTATGTTTCTGATACTACCTTTGACCAGTAATTTCTGTTTTTTCTTTCTTGTTTTTTTTTTTTTTTGAGACGGAGCCTCACTTGCTCTGTTGCCCAGGCTGTAGTGCAATGGCACAATCTCAGCTCACTGCAACCTCCGCCTCCCAGGTTCAAGTGACTCCCCTGCCTCAACCTCCTGAGTAATTGGGATTACAGGCACATGCCACCACACCCAGCTAAATTTTGTATTTTTAGTAGATAAGGGGTTTCACTGTGTTGGTTAGGCTGATCTCGAACTCCTGACCTCGTGATCTGCCCATCTTGGCCTCTCAAAGTGCTGGGATTACAGGCGTGAACCACTGTGCCCGGCCCTTGACCAGTAATTTCTATGCCTCCTCATCCTGCCAGTCACCCTAGTACCTATGTGTCTTCATATTAACCCTACCACAGTTAGGATTTAAGTAAAACACTACAATTAAGAGAAACACCCATTTCAAAGCTATTACTCAGGTAGCCCCAAACACCTCTGTGGAGTCAAAATGTTAAGCTTCATCTTCTTTTGGTTTTCCATTTGGAATTTTGAAGATAGTGAAGCCAGGTTCCTTAAAGGGTTACATTTTTTTAAAAAAATCACTTCCAATGACAGAAAAAGGTGTCAAAAGTTGAAAATCCTTCTTACTTTAAAGAAAGGAACAAGTGACACATCCAAGCCTGATTCTGGCGTAGCCACCCTGCAGCTGTAACTGATTTGGGAATGGGCCCAGGTGTGACGCCAGAATCCGTTCCACCCTCTCTCCACAGCCTGGCAAGCCCAATGCTTAGAAGAGTTCATGCATCAACTTCCTTAAAATGACCTCACTAAGCATATTGCCAAAGAAAAGTGAGTGGCAAGAGAAGATGGTGCCAGATGTTGCCTGCCAGACACAAGGACCAGATGCTTAGGGGAGGACTGGCTCCTCTGAGATGCACTGGAGGAATTCCCCCACCTCACTGATGGGGAAGCTCCTGTCACTTGGGGCCACTGATGGAAAGCAAAGACAAAGGGGATGCAAACATTGTCAGGACATAAAGGTAACTTCCTGACTTTCAACCTCAGGTAAGTTCCCAGGAGGCAGTAAACCAAGCCGCAGGGAGAGGGGAAATCTTTGGCCCAAAAGATGGCTGTTCATAGTTAGGTAAAAGTTCCTGGGAGTGCAGTGGACCGAAATCCCACTGAATTTAGCTCATCTCTCCAGAAACTTCCCTTTATCATTTCCTCTCAGCCCTCTTAACTCTTCTGCAATTTATTCTAGAGAAAAGACAAATTCCAAAGGGCCTCTAACTACCTAGAGCAAAATGCCTTGTGACTATTGGGTTTATGCAAGGAACAAAAACTGAACAATTGCTTTTTTCTGAATTAGGAAAAGAATAAGGTATTGGAGTTGGGGCCGAGATTAGCAGTTGACAGTTCTAACCCATGTGCAGAAAAAGCACTGGGCAGTGTTTCCCAGTGTGACCTCCCCTAGAAGATGTTCCGCAAAAAAAAAAAAAAAAAAAAAAAAAAAAGGAGGGCAGGGCAGGGCCACGTTGGCACACTCCTGTAATCCCAGAGTTTTGGGATGCCCAGGTGGGGGGATCACTTGAGGTTAGGAGTACATCGAGATCGAGATCAGCCTGGGCAACATCGCAAGACCCTGTCCCTGCATTAAAAAAAAAAAACAAAACTAAAAATTGGCCATGTGTGGTGGCACATTCCTATAGCCTCAGCTACTTGGGAAGCTGAGGTGAGAGGATCCTTTGGGCTCAGGAGTTCAAGGTTACAGTGAGCTCTGATTGTGTCCTTGCACTCCAGCCCGGGTGATAGTGTGAGACTCTGTCTCTACAAAAAAAAAAAAAAAAAAAAAAAAAAAAAAGGGTGGGGGGAGGTGGGAAAGGAGCGGAGCCTTATAGTCAAATAGGTTTGGAAAGTGTTCTATGTACGTTATCTCAGAGATGCATATTAGTATTAAAAGCACTGAAAAGGCTTTCAGGAAAGAACATTAATTTTGGGAAACTGGAAGAAACAGCCTAACTGGTCGCTAAACTCCCCTCTGGGGTGATAGGAATCAATATGCTGTAGACATACTTGGAAAGCCCCAATAAGGGTTTTCTCAGCCTCGACACCATTAACATTCTGGGCCAGACAATTCTCTGTTGTGGGGACTGCCCTGTGCATTGCATCCCTGAGCTCTACCTATCAGATGCCAGCAACACGGTCCCTTAGTTATGACAACCAAAAACATCTCCAGACATTGCAAAATGTCCCCTGGGGGCATCTGCCTCTAGTTAAGATATCTCAGGCCCATTTCCCTTAGGGAACATGGTACTTTAATTCAGGCCAGCACCCATCTCTATCTATTTTCTAGTTCTGTCTCAAGGAATCTCAAACCCAAGGCCAGCTGTAAGCCCCAGAGCTGCCACTTGCTGAGGGTGAGCTTCCTGTTGGTGACACCCTGTGTGCCACTGACCCAACCCACACAGACAGCCTTGGTTCCCCCAGGCCTATGCAGGTGGTGAGTTGTAGGGTGGCTTGTGGGGCAAAAAGGCCTCACAGAGATAGTCCTCTGCAGAAGACCCAAAAGGGCCATGAACGGCCACAGACTACGCCCAGGGCCTTCCCCAGCGCCCCAAGAGTTACCTCATGATGTTCGAGGCATCCTCCGCATCCGGGTCAGCGCAGTACTTGTTGGCAAGGATCAGGCAGGCATCTGCTGACTCTATCTAAGACACCAAAAGGAAAAATCACAGAACACAAACATATAAATAGCCACGCTCAAATGTAGTCTCTCTCTGTTGACAGCTCTTAGGGAAGCTGGTGCTTTGCAAAGGAAAAAAAAAAAAAAAAAAAAAACCAATCCTGAGAGCCTGGGAAATTATAGTTTTTGTCAAAAGTGTAGGTTACAAGTTCTTGTTATGGTATAAACATTTCATCTTGTTGCTGTTGGAGGGTACAACATGTACCTTGGTAATTATGCTTTTCATCTGGCATTGTTGCTTACTTGTAGGATTTCCACATTTCTTTAAATAACAATTAATTAAGCCTTTCAGTCTCCTCCTCAACTTCTTTCTCAACCATCTGCACCATCACCCTAATTCTTCCTATCAGGAGTTGGAGGTGGGTGGGTTAAATCTCTTCTCTCTAGTTAGCAAGTTAACTGAGTATTGGGGATTCAGAAACGTACACTCCGAAGTCTTTCATCTGACCTTTTCCACATCTTCATTTTCTATAGGCTAGGAAGAGATCAGAGCTCTAAATCAGATAACATCACCATATTGCTTAGTATTCAATTAGTATTCAGATATTTAAAAGCAACAAATCTATGTATGAAATGATGTGTTACAGTTGAATTCAAAATACACCTACTGACTTATCCAAACATGAGCCCACAGGGGTTTATTCCTTAGAGGGGACCATGAGTTTGATGTGCTAATGATTGCTTGCATTTAAATTAGGTCTACGAACAATAATAATTGTCCCTACATTCTCATAAGATTTTACATAAGCAATGACTTGGGTTATGTCTGGATAATATTAAGATTAACTGGACTCTATAAGCATAAGAATTCTTATGCTAGTTCAGATCTGCGATCTCTCCTACTTGGTATGCTGTACTTAATAGATCATTCCCGGATTTTGAGGGAGGCCATAATACCCTCTATGGTATGTCACAAATCGTCTCTGATTTCTCTAATAATGCAAAGAAAGAATTTATCCAAATCCTTTTGGATTATTCATCTTGGCCAATTATATTATTTACAGAATTATGCGGTGACCACAGTTAGCATTTAGACTTCAGTGAATTCATCATATTAATGTATACCCCCTGGCATGCAAATATTGAACATACTTATAAAATCTATATTACATAGGTAAAGTAGCAGATGCCATTTTGCCTCGTACCTTTCCCTTCTAAGCCTCAGGTGTGCTTTATGAGAAGGTTCTAACTTACCAGGTTCTAGAAAAAAAGATTCGCCCATTATCAGTAATATCAGATAACTGTATGTTTAGTTTTACACCCTGAGTCTTAGATGGGGAAAAAAGAAAATTGAAATGTTTTATAGCTTAGTAAAATTTTATTTTATATTTTAGCCTAATGTTTCTTTCAGATGTAAATAAGAGATGTCAGAGCTATATTGAGTCCAACTTAAGTGTTTAATATGGGAATTACTCGATTATTATGTTGAATAAAGATTACTGGGTCCATACAACTGGTCTACTTCCTTGATGAGTAGCTGATTTTGAGGAAACCAGCAAAGTAAGTTTCATGTTATGACCAGTCCAAGTGTGGGATGGTTATAGGTAGTCTTGCATATGCCACCAGAAGGAGGTCCTGGGACCAGTGGAAGGGTGATGTCAAGGTTGCTGGTATGTGATTGATCTCATTAGGTGTTTAGGAGATGACTCGTGGCCAACGTAGGAGGTGTGTCCCCTCATCACAGAGTCAGGAATTCCCCCAGCCCTCCACCAAATGGAATAAAAGCAGAAGTCATCTCTTCCTCCTTACCTTGACTCTTGCAAGATCATGTGGATTGAGGACTGAACCCTGATAAAATTCCACCTGAGTAAAATGTCGTTTGAACAGAGCTTCAAGCTCCAGGTTGGGGGAGATGCTACACAGGGAGAGAAGAAATCACTATTAATTTAATGGACTTGGGGGTTTCAGCCTCCATGGGCTCCTTCCTCTCTAATTTCCACAGGGAGCCCAGGGCAGAGGCTGTGACCTACAGTCGCCCTTTTGCTTGCCATAAATAAAAGACTCACACTTGAGAGAAGTAAAACCCCAGCCCAACTGAAAACCAAACCAGTACCATGGTAAAAGGAAGAGGTTCATGGGCTTTAGGAAGGCCAAGACCTCAGGGCAAATGTCTTATCTTCAGTATGAATGAAATTCCTATCTTATAAATAGGGAAGCTGGGCCGCGCCACTAGTGGGATGGCTCATTCTATGTGGACTGTGCCACAGGGTGCCCAGATCCAGTGTGATTTCTGGGTGTGTCTGGGAGAGTCTCTGGATGAGAATGGCATTTGAATCAGTGAATTCAGTAGATTGCCCTCCTTTGTGGGAGTGGGCATCATCCAGTCCTTTGAGGGTCTGAAGAGAACAATGAAGCAGAGGACAGAGGTGTTTGTCCCTTTTGCTTCTTGCCTGCCAGCTTGAACTGGGCATCTCTTGTCATTCTCCTATCCTTGGACTGGGGTTGACATTGTCTCTTTGACTCTCTGGCTTTCAGACTCAAACTGAATTACACCACCAGCTTTCCTGGGTCTCCAGCTTACTGGTGGCAGACAGTGGGACTTCCCATCCTCTGTAATCAAATAAGCCAATTCTTCCTAATAAATCTCTCTAGAGAGAGAGAGATAGATAGATAGATAGATAGATAGATAGATAGATGCATCAATATATAGATACCTATGTATATCTGTATTAGATATATTGATATATATGTTTCCTATTGACTCTGTTTCATTGGAGGGCCCTGACTAATACAATCAAGGATTAGCCGAAGGTTCCCCTGGGAGAGCCATCCTGCTGTTCCCTCCATCATGAACCTTATCTCTGCTTCTGTGTCTCATGGACTTCTCATCCCCCAAGGTCTGGATCAAAAAGTGTCACTCTGAGCAGCCACAGACAGACTTAATTTACTCTCATTATTGTTCTTGATTCACACACATGTATGCGACTCATCACACTTCTTGGTGCTGGGCTGTACTGATACCTTTCTCTTTGGAGGACGAGGATTAAACAAGTGACCTATTTATTCATTTGTTAATTCTGCAGAGATGAAAAAGACTGTCCATAAGATACTGTGCGAGGTACTGGGAGATGATATTTAGTTAGAACCTACTATATGCCAGGGACTGTGCTAAGACAACACTTGCCTAACATTTGTGAAGTCCATAATGATAATAATAATAATAGTTAATGTTTTCTAACATTTACTATATGGCAGACAACATTTTAAATAAATAATAGTAAAACAGTATTATAAATAAATAAATAAGTAAAATAAATACTATTTATATATTTTATTTTATTTTACTTAGAGTCTATCTCTGTCACACAGACTGGAGTGCAGTGGCAGGATCCTGGCTCACTGCAACTTCCCAGATTCAAGCAATTTTTGTGCCTCATCCGCCAGAGTAGCTGGGATTATAGGCATGTGCCACCATGCCTGGCTAATTTTTGTATTTTTAGTAGAGACAGGGCTGTGCCACCTTGACCAGGCTGGTCTTGAACTCCTGGCCTCAAGTGGTCCACCCACCTAGGCCTCCCAAAGTGCTGGGATTACAGGCGGAGCCACCATGCCTGGCCTTGATGAGTATTCATTTACATCTCAAAACAACCCTATAGGAAGGTATGTTATTAACCCAGAGCTTCAAGAGGTTAATTAACTGGGCTATGTACTATAAGTCTGACATTGATAGACGTTAGGAATACAAAGGTGAATCTTGCAATGGAAGCATTAGCAGCCAGCTTTTCTTTTTTTGAGACAGGGACTACAGTGCAGTGGTGCAATCTTGACTCACGGCAACCTCTGCCTCTCAGGCTCAAGCCATCCTCCCACCACAGCCTCCAGAGTAGCAAGGGCTACAGGCACGTGCCATGTGCCACTATGCCTGGTTAGTCTTTCTATTTTTTGTACAGATGGGGTCTCACTGTGTTGCTCAAGCTGGTCTCAAACTCCTGAGCTCAAGTGATCCGCCCACCTTGGCCTCCCAAAGTACTGGGATTACAAGCATGAGCAACCACACATTCCCAGCTTGTTTATTCAAACTAAAGCAGTGGATGAGAGAAAGTGGCTGCCTACGTGAATCTGACCAGTCTTTCAGACCCATGACAAGTCATACCTTATTCAGAAGCCTGTCCGGATAATACCATAGACTGATGCTCCTTGAAAGAGATGTCCCCAGTCACTTCTGCCACCTGATCAAAATGACTTCAGCATCCCTTGGATAACACAGGGTCGATGTTGTCTCTAATGGTTGCATGTGTGTTCATCTTGAAATGCCTAACCCATATGGGGGCACAGCCTACACCCTACACCTCTAGTGAACTTTCCAAAAACACTCAGCAGAGGATGGGCCACACAGCAGTGGCTAAGCACTGAACAGAAACTGTGGGTACCTGCTCCTGTGCTAACATAGCCTGGTCTGTTTTTTCAAAGTTTGGAAAAATCAGTGCAGAAAAGAAAAATGCTAGTGCCCCAACATGATGACAAGTCAGAAGTCTAGTATTCTGTGAGCAAATGCCAGAGGACGGCGATCCACAAAGCAGAGAGTTTGTAGGGAAGCCGACCTCAGTGGAACCTCAGAGTAGGACCGAGTGCTGGGTAGCTAGCATGTCGAGCCAACACAAACATGTTAGCTTTGTCCTGAACTTTTGCAATGTGGTACCAGGACTGGCCCCATGATAGCCCCATCTCCATAAGACAACTACAGTACCACATATGTCACCATAGTGGAGCCCCCTAATTCTCTCCATTCCTGGGGCAGACTACCTTTTACCTAAAAAGAGGATTAGGCAAAGTTGAAAACCTCAACATTGGGTAGAAGGGAGCTACCTTGGTTTCCTCCCCTGTAAAACACACAAGATAAGACCTACCTCCTAAGTGGATTATACAACCAAATATATGTTATTTTTCAGGCTGATAGCTAACACTTATTAAAGACTTACTGCATGCGTGACTCTGCTCTGCACATTTCATATGGATTAATTCATTTCGTTCTCATCACAGCCCAACTAGGTAGGAACTACTATCATCTCCATGATTTATGGATGAGGAAGCTGAGGCACAGGGAGGTTAAGTAACTTGCTCAGCCAGTAGTTGATTGAGTCAGGATTCAGATCAGGGAATCTGAGTCCAGAGTATGTATTTTTACTCTATGGAGTAAATGGGAGCCTGTATGTACAGTGACTGGCTAGGGTCCCACGCTGGGGGTTCCTAGGAGCGGCAGTTGTTATTCCTATTACCTTCTGTCCTGCTTCCTCTTAAGTTGGTGTCTTACTTGGTCACCAACTCACTTCTGCACTCCTAACGTATCCACACCATACAGCTAATCATCCCACTGCAGATACTGTGGACACGCCAGATTAAGGGGACAATGAGGATGACTTGGACCCACAATGAGCTCCCCTATTATTTCTTCCAGAGATAAACTCGGATGTGGTCCCAGAAGTGCCTCCACAGAGGCAGGCTCTGCTCTCATCATTGAACCAGTGTGTTGCTTCCCTTTCCATTGGTTCTGCAATATCTTCTCCAATGAGGCCAGCAGGGATCATGGCTTATCCAACTCTGGTCCCATCCCCAGTGCCATCTCCCCAAGACCTTCACTCGTATAGACATCCAGGGAGTCCCTTGCAGGGTGTGTGGTTGGGCAGAGGGTCTGACAGCAGTAGGAGGCTCTTACTTGTGAAGAAAAACGATCTCCACATTGACGTCATCCCGGTCCTTATGCAGAAAGTCCTTCAGGAAGTTGGAAACACTCTCCAGAGTGATGTGTCCGCAGACCACAATGTGCCTGAACAGGAGAGGCCAGTTAGATCAGGCCAGGCGCCATGACAGGACCCCACATCCCACCCCCTGGCAAGACAGCAGAAGCGAGGCAGCTGCAGGGGAAACATTCATCTCCTCCCTCCGCCTCCATAAAAGCCCAGCTCCCATCCCCGGAGGGCAGTGAGGCAAAGCAGCGGTGCTAGCAGGTGCTCAGAGACTCCTAGACAGAAAAGGCATATGGCTCCTCACCTGATGCTGCACAAAATCCTATTAAAAGCCCAACCGTTTGGCCAAGTGGTTTTATGCATTTAACAATAAGTGACATTATGCTTGCGCTTAAATGCTGCATTATCAAGTCCCTTGCAGATTCATATCTCTCCCTTTCTGCCCACAAAGCGTCCTCCGGGGAGATTTACTGTATGAGTCTTGGTTTATGACATAGAGCTTATCAGGTAATGAGATAACAAATCTTGCTGAAACGATGATTTTGTGTGTAAGAAAGCAGACTTTTATCAGGGTGGCTAATGTGCGGCCTGACACGTTATAGGCTCTGCTGGCCATAAGCAGTAAAAAGGAAATTTTGCATTTTTCCACTATAACTCCTCCGACAATGGGGGCATGTAACACTTTACAGTAAGTGAGCATTACTCAGGGCTAAATGGGGCTGGGATGCCTATAGAACGGAAGATCATGCCGGCTGGCTGTGAGTCCCCAGAGGGCTGCTTCCTTAGGGTGCCTAGGATTTCCAGGAGAGCCAAAGGAATTTACCTCAAGATGGGGAGATGCCGGGAAGGGATGAGGCTGGAATTGCTCGCCTTGTTTGAGGGTGGTTTGGACTTCCGTTTCCGGAAGTAGTGGTTCACACGGAAGACATGAGACCCTCTTCTACAATTGTTGAGACTGACAGTCCCTCCAACCGCTCTGGGCTCCTGGACCAATGTGACTTTGTTGGCCACTTATATGTGCCACATAATGCCCAGTCAGGAGTAAGCATTTGATGCAGGAGTCAGCCGCAAGACAAAAACCCGGGGACTGACTGTGGAGATAAAAACCACTGGCTTCTAGTGAAGAGACAGTATGTAGCAAGAGGCTCGACTCCTGTCCCTGTGCCCCCCAGGCTGATAGTGACAGAAGCTGAATCTCTAGCTGCACACTGAGACTTGGGCAGGTGGTGAGCATGCAGCATGGTAATTTCCTGGGTAAAATTTAGAATGGCCATGTCCCTTGCACTTCATAATTGCTCTGTGCACATTCCAATAAGGCAGAAAGCTCATTGGCTGGAGGTGGCTCATAACAGGAGGCAGTGATGATGGCTTATGCAATGTTCCATTAGATGCCATTATAAGAGCCTGCCCTTTCGTTGTAATTTGGTGCTTGACTAAGTATGTGAGAATAATGCAGTAAACTCATTGGTGAAAGGATAATGATGCAGAACAAAGAGTAAATCAATAATATGCACGATGCAGTTAATAATATCACCATTATAGACTGTTATTGTTACGGTGGTGTGCTTAGCAATCAGGCACGCAGCAGCCACCAAGAGGAGGGAAGAGTGTCAATGAGCTACTTCAGAAGAGACATCTTAACATGATCACTTTGCTCTCCTGCTAGGTTGATGGAGGTCCCTTAGCCACCCATCCAAATGTTATGCCCAAAGCCCATATGACTAACCCCCTCATTAGTATATGGTGAGTAGTATGAGGCTAATATAGTGTAACACACAGTATATCAGAATACACAATATAGATTGACACTTGGATGATATGCATTTTATCATATATTTTTAAATGTTTCTTGTGGCACAATGTACATTTACATGGACAAAATACTTCAAATAAATTTGCATGTTCGGAATAAGATTTCAGACTTTGAATTTGCCAAATATGTTTGAAGTGAATGAGAAACAGAATTCCCCTACTGACCTAACTTCCTAGCAACTCACAATAGGGCTACTTTGCCATTCTAATGTCTTCTGTGCATAGACTTCCAAGATTAGGAGCAAAGCCAACGTGAATCCAATGCGTGGGTATCTCCACAGGACAGATAGGTGGTTGAGGTTGTTCTCATCACTTGGATGTGAAAGTAAGCCAGATGTGATTCCCTGCTCTGCGACCAAGGGTGTGGGCAAGGTACTTTTTCCCATTCAATGCAGGAGGAAACTGAGAGGTTAATACCACCTAGCCAGCCTCCTGTGCCAGGCATTGTAAAGTTCGAAGTTCTGTACCAGCATAAGACTGGTTATTACTCAAAGCTAGACTCAAATCAATGATAGGTCTGGGGAAATGCCTGAACATTCATTCTTCCTACCCAGGATGCAAAGAACTGAATGAACATCAGCCAGCATCCCTCCTCCTCTCCTGAAATCATTCATCCCTAGGAAAGATGTGTGAGAAGCGCAAGGGGAAAAGATGAGTTCCCCGCTCTCACCCTTGAATCAAAAGCTCAGCTGGCTGATTTATTCAGCCTTAGAAAAAGTCAGGGTTCTCTTCCTTGAAAATGTGCTGGGTACATATAAAATATATTCCAATGCAATCAATATTATCCCTTAAGCCTTTAATTAACTTTCACTTCTCTTAAGAAGTAGACAAATGTTGGCAAGAGCGAGGAGAAAAAAAGGATTGACTTTTTTCATTTGGTGCTAGCTATCCAATACCATTGTAGACAATTGAAAATATATATCTTTTAGCCACAGCGTGATTTCTGGGGTGGAGAGCTGTCTTTATCAAAAAAGGAAGAAAAAAATCTTCCTTCAACGTAATTGGTATTTTTGCTCAGAAAAAAAGCGAGATTGATTGAAAGCAGATTGCCTTTTTGCCCAAGGAGAGTTATTAGGTACATTATCATGGCAACCTTGGAGAACCCATATTGTTCCAATCTGTCCTATATCTGATTTGAAGATTTATGGTCTCCCCGTTTTGTGCCAATAATCATTTCCCTCCATTTTGTTTTCCATACAGTGAAGGTTATCAAGGAGCCCACATATTGAAAATGTTTGAATGCAGTTAGAATTGATAGATGGGGAGAAGCTGCCTCTAACTCAGCAGTCAGTATTAGGAGATTTGCTTCTGCCAGCCTGTGTCTGGGGAGGGCCCTGCAAGAGCATGAGGGATGGGTGGTGAATGGGAAACATTTATTTACCAGAAATATTTTCGAGAATTTTGAAGATTCTAGGGCCATAGTTTGGGGAAGGATATTATTGCAGGAAGAAGAGAACTAGAATTTATTGTATCCTCAATTATTAGAGATATCATCAAAAATATGCTAAGATAGAGAGCAGGGTGTGACCTCATTGGAGGCAGAGTAATGGTTGTTCACAGGGCATGATTTGAAGAATGCCCAAAAAGACCCCCATCCAAAGTTATCGCTGTTGGGTTCCATAACACCTACATATCTACCATGTGAGATTCATACTCTGATAGCCCTGTGTTAACTCAGCTCAGATACTAAATAACTAAATAGTCGTGGACAATGTAGCAACTTTGCATTTACAATTAAAAATCCAGAGCCTTTGAGGGGCCAGAGCTAGTGCCCGATTCATGAAGTTATCCTGATATCTAAGGAGATGATACATGGAAGGGCCAAGTAATCTGACCCATGGTAAGCACTATAAAAGGGTAAGTGCCATATGATATCTGTAAATTAGGATATAACCAATATAAAGTATTCTGTGGCCTATGTAATCCCACCTAATCCTTCAACAACCCCTTGTTCTCACTACCTGAGTCTCTTCAGATAATCTCTCTGAAACTCTTTCCTTAAGTCATATGCCTGGCATCCCACAGCAAGTAAAAGTGACTTGCCCAGGATGCAATCTTGGTCTCCCACTTCAATTCCCACTAAGACGAAGGTGGTGGTGGAAAGGGCAGAGGCTTGTATATCTCAGCTTCTGCTCCTTCAGGGCAAGCAGAGATGGACCCACAGAGGTCCTCCTGGATATGTGGTGGAGTGGATGTTGGAGGGATCCTCCACTGGCCAAGGGAGAGGTTTAGTCTGGGGACTGGAGTGGATAAACCATCACAGTTTTGCAAGATCACTAGAGTCTGACTGGATAGGCGGTATCATGATATTCTTAGGAAAGTCTGATTACAGGCAGAAATCACAAATCCCACTGGTCAGGAACTCTAAGCCAAACTTAACTGAAGCCATATGATTGGGGCAAGCCAAGGGGCTGCAAAGTAATGCAAATGTCCATTCTATTTTATATTTTATTTTATTTATTTTTTAGAGACAGGGTATTGCCCTGTTGCCCAGGCTGAAGTACAATGGCTCAATCATAGGTACATTATCATGGTAACCTTGGAGAACCCATATTGTTCCAATCTGTCTTGAACTCCCAGGCTCAAGTGATTCTCCTGTCTTAACTTCCTGAATAGCTGGGATTATAGGCATGCCACCACAGGTAGCTAATTTTCTGTTGGTTTTTGTAAAGATAGGGTCTTGCTCTGTTGCCCAGGCTGGTCATAAACTCCCAACCTCAAGTGATCTGCTCACCTCGGCCCCCAAAGTGCTGAGATTACAGGCACGAGCCACCGCGCCCTACCTCAAATGTCTACTTTAGACATGTCATGTACGGCTCAGGACTTCCTTACCAGCCCGGAATCTAGAAGATAACAAGAATCTTAATGATCCATTTACAATGGGGAATATTTAGGAAAGTTCAGTTGTGAGAGTAGCTAAATCTCTCCCCATCTGTGGATGTGGATCTGAACTTTTTAAGACCACCAGCAATTGTCCTGACCAGTTTCTACAGGGCCTGACTGCTCAGTTTGTGAAGATGACCAATAGACCTCAATCAATAACCATTTCTGATCTGATGAGATTTTGGTTTTAAATGCTAGGTCTGGATCTGTAAACAAATACTTATTGGACAAAGGTAACACAAACTAAACATAAGCTAACAGGTCATGGCTTAGAATAAAAGATCCACCTCAGACGCAAAAGCAAGCATCTTCGATGGCAAAATAGTATCCAACGGCACTTTCTGGAGAGGAATTACTCATCCAGTGTGAGCAAGTAGTGCCTGGT